AAATCATAGCCGAAGCGAAAATCATCATCGGCTTTCTTGCCATGGCCGCTGAACAGCTCCTCGGCACAAGTAGCTCGCAGTGCCTGCAGCTCGGCCTTTCTTTGCTGAAGCATAGTCAAAAACTTTTCGACCAGAGCGGTTTCGGAGACACACAAGTCACGCTCCCAGCCTTGCACGAGTGCTTCTTGCTCCGGCGACAGATGCTGTCTGTATCTTTTAAGAAACATAGCACAAAAGGAAGAGCTTACATCAGCTCCCTGGTCAAGGCTTTGCAATGCCTTCACCAGGGAGCTCTTTTCTTGAGCTCGCAGCACGGCAGAGTAAGCTTGGACAAAAGCACTCAGCCTTGCAAAGCTTCGTTGAAGGCCGGCCAGAAAAGGCGCAGCCTCCAACTTGGACTTGTCACAAAGCACAAACTCCCAGTCTTCTAAATGCTCTTTCTGGTCGGCATTCAACAATGCCACGTGCCTGTCGAAGAAATTCTTAGCTTGCTTCCAACGTGTGTCGGAATTCGCGCGGTTGCTGCTGACAACAGCTGACAAGCTTTGCTTCTGTAGCTGAGCAATTTCAACAGCATTCTGAGCGAAGAAGGCTTGCACTTCGACAAAGGCAGGAGCACGACGCGATGCTGCAGCTTCTTTTGCCGCAGCACTCACTTGACACAACTCAGCTTCCTTTGCAAGCAAAAAAACCTTTTCCGCAGACGCCAAGCGGTCGCTATAGCGCAGCAGGAAAACACGGCAAAAGCTCGACATTTGAAATTCCTGCATGTGTCGACTCTGCAAAGCTGCCAGCAAGCTTGGCTTGCTTGAGTATCTTATCGCCTCTGCCGTCTCTGTCAAAAATGCCTCCACGCGGCAAAAACAGCATTGAAGGCCGGCCAGAAAAGGCGCAGCCTCCAACGTGGACTTGTCACAAAGCACAAACTCCCAGTCTTCCAAAATCTGCTGCTGAGCTGGCTCCAAGCTTGAAAGTTTTCGTCTGCAGAAATTTCTGGCTCGCTCCCACTCTGGTACCTGACTGCGCCGCTTGCTGTTGAGCAAAGCTGTAAGCGTCGGCTTCTTCATTTGCACAAGCTCCTGCGAGTAGGCTGCCAAAAACGCCACCGTCTTATCAAATGCGTCTGCCATGGCGTCCGGAGCGGTCAGAAAAGACGCGCTCCACCGTGCGGGATATACAAGGAAACGATGTCACTGGCATGTGTCTGTGGAAGTATATGCGTTCTGTGGGAACACAAACTAAAAAAAAAACATCAAGAGGTTGTCCGCCTGAGCGTGATGCTGGTAGGTCGGCTGGTGACAAACAACAAACTAGAACATTAACATGTTCTCGGCCTGTGTGTGGTGCTGGTGGGAGTGCTGGTGAAAGTGTAGTGGTGGTAGTGGTGGTGGTGATGTGAGTTGCCGCTCCGCGATTGAAGCCGGGACATGAACAAACATGAACAGTGGTGGTGGTGATGCTAGTGATGCTGGTGACGAAAACCGGGACATTGAACAAACATGACATACGCGGAGCAACTGACAAGACAGAGCCGAAACGCCACACGGTCACAGCGACATTACCTCCCTATCTATCTATCTATCTGTCTATCTACCTATCTATCTGCCTGTCTACCTCTCTATCTATCTGTCTACTTGTCTCTCTATCTTTCCAGCTTTCTATCTATCTATCTATCTATCTATCTGTCTGTCTGTCTATCTATCTAGAGCGCGACTAACTCAACAGGGCAGCGTAGGATGCCTTGCGCGTTGCCATTCCAATGCGTTTTACCACTGCCAAGCTGCATTCCATCTTAGAAATGCGCACCGCGCGCAAGCGCCTTTTGCCACCACCACTGTCAAGCTACATTGCATCTTAAAAAACGCGCACCGCGCGCAGGCGCCACGCATTTTTCCAAGTTAGATAAAAGCCTTGCGCGTTGCCATTCCAATGCGTTTTACCGCTGTCAAGCTACATTGCATCTTAAAAACGCGCACCGCGCGCAGGCCGCGTGCGATTTTTGAAAGTTGGAGCTTCCAAAAGTAGCCCGACCCTCTCAGGTTTTTACGATTTTGACTTCCAAATGTGCACCGCGCGCAGGCCGCGTGCGATTTTTGAAAGTTGGAGCTTCCAAAAGTAGCCCGAGCATGTAGTGTTTTTACGATTTTGACTTCCAAATGTGCACCGCGCGCAGGCCGCGTGCGATTTTTTGCCAGCAATTCCGACCAAAGGCTCCGCACCCGCCGCTTTACCGAAGTAACTTCTGGGCCGTCTGGAGGCTCAAAACATTGAAAAATACAGCATTTCGCGACCTTTCTAACATTTCGCACACCATGCTTCATCTTTCTTCATCGCTTCTTCATCTTTCTTCATCGCTTCTTCATCTCTTCTTCTCTCTCTCTCTCTCTATCTCTCGCTCTGCACTGCTCTGCTTGAGTTGTCGATATTGTCGGAAGTTAGACTTCTAAACTTCCTTCGATAAGTCTAGTACGCGAAGTACACCTTCCGCAGCTCCAGCTCGAAAATCGCAACTTTGTAGCACAAGTCCAGTACGCAAAGTACACCTTCGTAGCTCCAGCTCGAAAATCGCAACTTTGTAGTACAAGTCTAGTACGCGAAGTACACTTCCGCAGCTCCAGCTCGAAAGTCGTAACTTTGTAGTACAAGTCTAGTACGCAAAGTAAACTTCCGCAGCTCCAGCTCGAAAATCGCAACTTGTAGTACAAGTCTAGTACAGGAAGCACACTTCCACAGCGCTCTAGCTCGAACATCGCAACTTTGTAGTACAAGCCTAGTACGCGAAGTACACTTCCGCGAAGTACACTTCCGCAGCTCCAGCTCGAAAATCGCAACTTTGTAGTGCAATCCTAGTATGCGAAGTACACTACCGCATCTCCAGTTCGAAAGTCGCAACTTTGTAGTACAAGTCTAGTACGCGAAGTACACTTCGGCATCTCCAGCTCGAAAATCGCAACTTTGTAGTACAAGTCTAGTACGCGAAGTACACTTCCGCATCTCCAGCTCGAAAATCGCAACTTTGTAGTACAAGTCTAGTAAGCGAAGTTCACTTCCACATCTCCAGCTCGAAAATCGCAACTTTGTAGTACAAGTCTAGTACGGGAAGTACACTTCCGCAGCTCCCGCTCGAAAATCGCAACTTTGTAGCACAAGTCCAGTACGCGAAGTACACTTCCGCAGCTCCAGCTCGAAAAATCGCAACTTTGTAGTATAAGTCTAGTAAGCGAAGTACACTTCCGTAGCTCCAGCTCGAAAATCGCAACTTTGTAGTACAAATACACAAAATACACTTCCGCATCTCCAGCTCGAAGATCGCAATTTTGTAGTACAAGTCTATTAGTATGCAAAGTTCATTTATGCAGATCCAGCTCGAAAATCGCACCTTTGTAGTACAAGTCTAGTACACGAAATACACTTCCGCAGCTCCAGCTCGAAAATCGCAATTTTGTAGTACAAGTCTAGTACGCAAAGTACACTTCCGCAACTCCAGCTCGAAAATCGCAACTTTGTAATACAAGTCTAGTACACGAAGTACATTTCCGCAGCTCCAACTCGGAAGTCGCAACTTTGTAGTACAAGTCTAGTACGCGAAGTAAACTTCCGCAGCTCCAGCTCGAAAATCGCAACTTTGTAGTACAAGTCTAGTACGAGAAATACACTTCCAGTATATACACGAAGTACACTTCCGCATCTCCAGTTCGAAAATCGCAATTTTGTAATACAAGTCTAGTAAACGAAGTTCACTTCCATATCTCCAACTCGAAAATCGCAACTTTGTAGTACAAGTCTAGTACGGGAAGTACACTTCCGCAGCTCCCGCTCGAAAATCGCAACTTTGTAGCACAAGTCTAGTACGGGAAATACACTTCCGCAACTCCAGCTCGAAAATCGAAACTTTGTCGTGCAAGTCTAGTACGCGAAATACACTTCCGCAGCTCCAGCTCGAAAATCGCAACTTCTCAGTACAAGTGTCGTATTTACGAAGCACACCTTGGCAGCTCCAGCTCGAAAGTGGCGACTCGCCTTCTGTTTTTATGGTGGCCACACAAGGGTCCCACCCTAGCTAAGTTGCAACTGCAGGGGTTATTATAGAGCCGTGTGTTAGCTAAGGGTTATCGTTTTTGGGGGAGACCTTATCGTTTTGCATGGTTTTGGCATGTGTTATGCAAAAACGTACCCCGCCTTAATAAAGTGGTCTTCGTGTGTTTTGTCCGTGGCTCATATATTCATATCAAATTATAAAATCTAAATTTATCATTCAAAAAAACAATCAACATACAAACTAAGTAAACAATACACATATTCACCACAAATAAATATATAATCAAAAAATACAATTCTAATTCAACATCAAAAAACAATCCCAAACAAACAAAACCAACAACAACAACTACAAACAAGCATAACAAATAAACACATTTTAAACACCAAATATACATAAAAACGAAGCAAGCGAACGAACAAACACCGAATCTAAACAACAAAGGAAAAACAAACGAAAAACGGAAAACAAATCAAATATAAAACAAACACAAATAAACGCACAACAAACCAGCAAACACACAACAAGACAAACAACCACAAACGGACAGTCAAGCACGAGCAAACGAAACCAAAGAAAGACACACATTGACAAGTAGAGGCAGAGAGAAGCAGAGAGACAACGACAAGCGCAAGCTGCTAGAGACTGAGACAAACACACAAACAAACTCGGACAAATCGAACAGGGACAGACAAAGAGACGTAGATAGACACAGACAGACAGACACAAAGCAACAGGAGAAATGTCGATTTGGATAGGTCCCCAAATATGACCGAAATTTGGCCAGGCAAGTTTCTCGGCTCCGAAATGTTGGGCACTTCCGCGCCGAGCAAAGTGTGGCAACAACGGCGATTCGGCCGAAGCGACATGTTAACTTGATATGATATTCAACGATAAAGAAAAGCAAGCAAGCTTAGCAAGAATCCACACTTGCATTGCGCCATACTTAATATTGCTTTTATGGAATCTGGAAGCCATCAGGACCCGCATCAACAGAGCAAAGGAAGCGAAATACCTGCGATGCGGCAACCAGTGCACGAGTCCAAACCTCAAAGCTCTGCAAAGCCTCATCAACCGTCTTGCTGCCATCTGTCACCTCCGCGCTTCCGCGTTGCGCGGGCAAGAATGAGCATCAAGGCAAAGACATCTGGATGCCACATGCCCTTCAGGCGCCGCAAAGCCTGATGAACAGAAAACAAATTGATTTTGTTTTGCCGAGCTTGTGCAATAAGGCTGAAGCATTCCTGCGATCAATGACTGGCAGTGACGCAACCTGTTTCGGCATGCGATTGAAGGGACGAAAGCGACAGGCCACAGGCCAATCGCCCGACATGCCCCACCTTGCTCATGAGAAAAACCCGAATACGCGAGATGCTTTGCTGCGCCGTCAAATCTGACGGTCGCAAAGCGAAAAGCTGTCCCACGTACTCCTGCACAATCTCCACCTGGCGCGGTGTGTGCCGCGGCTAATGCTGTGACGGAGGGCTAGGGCCGCTTTGCTTGTTTTGGGGCAGTGACTTGGATCATGGCAAACCGTTTGAGCGCACATGCCTCAGCTTGACCGGTTGGCCGCACGCGTAGCTGAATCATTCCATTTCGCACCTGAGTGGCTGCCACAGAACATTCACGGCTCGCTGTTGCGTGAGCGCATGATGGATTTGAGTTTGTTGGGAGCCTTGTGTCTTTCATCAACCGTGCAATGACGCAAGCTCTCAGGCCGGGTGAGAACACCGTCGTTTCTCGGACAGCCATGAACAAATAAGCGTGGCATGCGCTCGCTCTCTTACTCTCGCCATGTCGAAGCACCACAAAATCTTTGTGTGATGCCAGCCATCTTCTCGGAACGCGGAAAGTGTCCGACACTGTGGCCACAGGGACTTGGCCCTTACTGGCAAGGAACCTCAGATGGAACCCCCCCGATTCACATTTCCCGACTCTTGCCCGCTGGAAAGGGCCACAAATTGCAACTTGAAAACAATTCTGGGAGACAGGAAACAGGTACTCGTCAGCGTGCCATGCTATTTGTGGGAGACAAGCGGCTCTTTGATGTTTACCTCGTGCTTTTGGTAGCCCTGGTCACGTGGCAGGTGAAGTATGCCCGATGCCTAGAATCGCTTACCGGCCTGCTTGGACGTCACCACGCCGTCGGAGGTCAATTCAAAGTGCTGCTGCCTAGGTTGGTAGCATGCTCAGCACCTTGCTAATTTCAGGGAACGTATTGGGCCCCTTACGTGCAGTCGGAGAAGTTGACTCTATTTTGTGGGTTCCTTTTTTCAATTGAACTTCAGCCATGCCAGGCGATGACATTGGCTGAGCGGCAGGAGATCTGGACTGATCCCTCCCACAGCCACCTTCAGCGCCCGCAACCTGGCAGAGCCTCCTATCCGCCGGAGGTACTGTTCCACCTGCTCCACCTGGAAAGGCCGGCGCCGGGAGAAAAGCCTTCCTCAAACCCTTTCAGGATCCAAACCCCCAAGCCTCACTGATGGCAAGGCAGAGCTGCGCAGCAAGGGCTCAAATCTACGTTGAGAAGCGCGTTGAGGCACGGCTATGTTGACCCCTGCCATGTGTGCAGCAAGGCTATGCTTGAGTCTGCTGCGCAGCAAAGATATGCTGAGACGCGCTGCGCAAAAAAAACTGCTTAAGATGCAAAGCAAAGTGAGAAGCGCTGCGCGGCAAAGCTATGCTGAGACGGCTGCGAAGCAAAGCTATGCTAAGATGTCCTGCGCGGCAAGGCTATGTTGAGATGCGCTGCGCGGCAAGGGCAAGCTCTGCTGAGACGCGCTGTGTGTTGAGAGCGCTGTGCAGCAAGGCTCTATGTGGTTGAGATGCGGGCGCCTTTGTGAGCCAGATCGATGCTACGCGATCGGGAAAACGTAATCCGTCAATGTAGAAAAGGAGCGCCCAAAACTTGGACACAGCCCGCCATGCGGGAACTTTCTCAGTTCCACCAACAAAGTTTTCTCTCTCTTTCTCCCTCTCTCTCTCTCTCGCATCTTGGAGAAGCCAGCCCAAGGTAGACAGAGCGGCTGGAAAACAATGGAAAAAACAGCAATCGCCGCAGAAGCAGCGGACGTCAAGCCAGAGCTGCGGCCGCTGTGCGAATTGGGTTGGGTTCGGGCGGAGGGGCAGCGTCAGGCGTGGCTTGGAACGCAGTAGGAACAGGGTTGGTGAGACAGGCGACATCTCTCCCGCGGGGCAGTTGCGCCCAAACACGGTGAAGGTCATGAGAGCCATGAGGCGGATTTGGACAAACAGCGCATAAGTTTTCCTTGTGGGCAAAGTTTAACAGGCGTTGTTTGGGTGATTAGAGCCTGTTGAGCAGCTGAAGCTTGGCATGGAGGGTGCGGAACATGAATCCGGCCAAAGCGAGTGTCATCATCCGCAAGGGAGGCGTCGTCGCCCTCCCTCCCACGCTACAAAGCCAAGGCTCGCTGCAAGCTTCGCGCCGTGCCTCCAACTGTGCCTGCGCGTCCCTGCGCTTCTAGATCTTGAAGGACCCTTCGACGCGCTCGAGCCGGGCAACAGTTGTCTGATCTTGTCTCTCGCAACCGCCGCCGCCTCGCCCGCTCATCGTTCGCCTCACGAGTTTCATCTTCTCTTGACTGCTCCTCGCAGTTCTCCTGCCCACAGCCGCGCGATTTGCTCCTGGGCGGCTATCTTGAACGCCAGTGTTTTTTTGAAGATCCGGGCAAGCGCCGCGCTCTTTGTGAGGTGGTCTCAACCAGAACGTTGGGAGCACGTGCCACGCTGTTTAAACTCCACAGAGCGGAGTTTCAAGGGCCAGCTTTTCCACCTGATTCTGACTTCGCGCTCTGACGCCGGCCACACTCCCGGCTCACGCCGCAAACTGGTTCCGCATTTGGCGACGTCACATTTGCACTCCCGACTGGCGCCGCGTTCCATGACGCCACGTTCCCTTCTGAGGCCGCACTCATGGCTGACTCCGCCGCATTCTTCGCTGATGCAGCGCTTCGTCACCGCTCACGGCGCCTGCAGGCGCAGCGCGGAGCCTGCAGCGGCAGCCTTCGTAAATGGTCTTCGGGGTGGAACTTGGCTTCGGGAGCGAGCTTGGCTTCGGCGAATCCGTCTTTGCAATTTGTTTTCAGGGCGGTATTCGGCTTCGGGAATTCGTCTTCGCAGTACCGCCGACCCGTCGCTGAGCTCCCTTGTCTGTGATCTCCGCCTCTCCCATAAAGATCACTAGGATGCCCCCCACCATCCGCGAGCAAGTTCTCTTTGATGAAGATAAACTTGTCGCAGCTGTTCGGAAGCTCCGCCGGTCAGTTTCTTGCTGGCCTTCTTGCTCCAGCCCAGCGTTGTCATCCTTTGGTAGCCCAGGCCCAGGAGGAACCGCAAGAGCCTGGTGCGAATTCCGGATCTCTCCAGAGCTCTGGGGCCAGCGGCATTGACCTTTGCCAGAACCGCTCTTGTTCTTTTAAGAGCTCATCCAGTTGAAAACTCTGTCTTCTTCTCCTGTTCATGTTCCTGGCAGCCAAACCTTATTGGTTTGGACGCACAACCTACACTTGGAAAACTATGGTAGAAGCAGGAAGGAGCGCTGCAACCCTTTTTCTCAAGCCATCACACAAAGCGCGTGTCATGCTCCTCAGACAGAACCTAGAATGCGTTGCAGCTTGAAGCCGAAAAGGTCGTTTGTAAAAGCGACAACAGGACAATGTTTAGGCTGTACCCTTCAGCGTCTTGCGCTGACCTTCTAGAGCAGCCGGACTTGTCTGTTGGGCGTTCTATCGAATTTCTTAACAGCAAGAACCAAACAACCACCGCCGCCTTTAGGAGCCTTTATGAAAAGATTAAGAAAGAACAGCCAGAAAGTGCTTGAACAAATGCAAAGCCTCTCTCCGCTGGTTGTGCACACCCAATTTGAGGATCCAGGAAGCAAGCGTTGACAAGCAAACACCTGGCCTTCTCATCCACCCCTCTGCGTGGAGTTCTCCAGACTCGAAGAGCTTGAAAGCTCAATTGCGGAGCAATGAAGAGCGGCAACGCATGTGTCCACCGCATGGCGCAGTGCTCAAACCAGGCGGTCTCTCCTCTCCATGTAAATGTCTCTGCCATGAAGCCTACATGTTTGCTTTCTCTCACCGTCGTATGTTTGTCTTGCAGCTGCAGCTGCGGAAAGAATGTTTGAGTGTTGATGTCTTTCGACGCGTGGCAAATACTCTTCAATCAATGCATCTGTACTTCTCAAACGCGAGCCTCTTCCACCTTGCTGCCGGATGGTGACACAAAGAGCGAGCTCCAAGCTGGGGAACAAATGCACAGGCCACTTTCACAGCTCCTGGGTGGCGTGCACAATTCGCCACTATGTGGCGCGTCTGCCTTTGAATAAAGTACTTGGCAGACTTGAGAGGCTGAGTCTCGAAAGCCTCCTCGTAGAACATTCGGAAGTTTTGGGTGCCTGCATGGTTCCTGATTCTGGCCCGGCGTCCAGCACACGGGCTGTACTTTTTAGTGGCTGCCTCGAATCCACATTAAGCTGGACAAGTTGAATAGTATCCGGAGCTGGGAACACTTCACTATCATTCCAGCACAGAATTCAATCGGTGCAGAACCCGAATTTCTATCTGCATCACATCCAAATCCTGCAAACAGCCTCCGCGGCTTCGGACTTTGGCTTCATCACAACCATCGCTGTCTTTCATGCTTGTACAACATCTTGAACGCCACAGTAGAATCTCAGATTGCAGGGAAACTCCAGTTGTGCTGCGCTGTGCGATTTTGCGAGCTGTGTCTCAGAATCATGTGGGCCACGGTCAACACAAATCCAAACAATGCTTCATGCTGATATACTGGTGTCCTGGCTTTGGTATCGTGCAAGGCTATCGTTTTTGTTTGTCCCATCGTTTTTCCTGCAAATTGAAAGGAAGGCCGTGAAATCAGTTTCATAAATCTTTTGACCCTGTTTGATGTTTTGAACACAGCTTGTGATGGCACAGAACTCTTACCTTGAGCTCGTGAGATACGCAGCATGCCCCCCAGCGTGGTAAAGTACAGTGCAACTGAATGAACAAGAAAGCATGCACTACATTGGTCAACATTTAGAGGAGGGCACACAGTAGCACGAACTGCACCCAATTCAAGATCAGCCAGCGAATTCTCCACGTTCTGACTCAACATGACAAGCGGCCGAGCAGATTGACATAAAACAACCAACCTGCTGAGCGGCTGTTGCGCTGGGACTGTTCTTTGCGTCATCCATTAGCGAAAGGACTTTGCCCCTGGAACTGCTCCTTTTGAACTGTTCACAGCTTTGAGACCTGAAGCGCCGTGTGGCCCTCATGTTACGCGGTCGCCAGTGTCCTGCGAATGGCGCACGATGCACAAATAAAGGACATTGACCTTCCTCCACCACAGGCACGAAAGCTCCGGCCCGTACCAGAAGATCGTAAACCTCGAGGGAAGCAAAGGCTTTCGCTTTCTTCATATATCATAGCACACCTCAGGATTTTACACAGTCAGTTCCCCGACATCCTCCAAACAACAAAAACACTTGAGCTTTATTTTGGTGAGTCTCTCCAACCAGTGAGGGTCCAGTGCAGTACATTGGAATTCACACCCGCAGCGCCTCTTTTCTGCCATTCAGGGCAGCAAGTGTCGCAGCCGTGTTGCAGTCCACCTTGCGATGCTCACAGAGCCAGGTCATAGCTTCGTCATAGCTTCCACACGCGCGCCTCGCTGACCACTGATGGGTTGCTTCCGAAATCCAGCAAGGCCGACACCTCGCCATCTAAGCGTGGCAAGATTTCCTAGCCCCTCGGACCTCGCTTCTGGGGCTGCAGCCACTGCCACGCTGCTGCCAGCAGCCTTGGCAAGAGCACCCGAGTACGCTGTGCATGGGAAGGCTGGGAAGGCTGGGCAGCCAGCATGCATGATGGCAGTGTGACCATTGACATCCTTCACATACCACACTTGGCGAAGGCGTCATTCACATCCGCGGCATTCGGAGTCCTCTGCGGCGGTATTCGCCCCAGCCACCAGCAGCATCCGTGCCACCTGTGCTCGGCTTGCTGAAGCACACACGCCTCGCAGGGTCCGCCTGATCGTGGCCACCAGTCGCAGCCAGCATCAAGGGAGTCTCCCCCCTGAGACAAATCCAGGCACTCAAGCACTGTCACTCAAGACAAAAAAGTCCCGACGCAACCCACCCAATGTGGGCTGCTGGCCGTGCGTTGGAAGAGTTCACATTCGCCTTTCAGTGCTGCGCTGTGGTCATCTCCAAAGCATTTCTCGCCTGGTACTGCAAGAGCCTGCGGCAAAGTACCTTCAGGCGCATCACAGGGCTCAAGCTTCAATGCGCAGTCCGGCCTCACTGCCAACTTTGGCTGCTTCTGCAAGTGCAGTGTTGCCTGAGCCGTGGCTTTTGCTCTCGTGCAATCTCCTGCTGCTGTGTCGCACCTGTGGTCCGGTTTGCGGCATTCACAGGGGCACCAGCTCGAAGCATGGTCTCTAAGCAAGCCTCACGAAATAAAACTGCTGACAGTAAACGCATGAAACGCGAATGCCTTCTGAAAGAGTCCCGTCCTCATGCTTGTTTCTCACGCAGAAGCTCAGTGCAGATTCGCCGGCGCTGTTTGCCAGCGACACCGACCTCGCCACGGCTGACCAACAGCCCCACACCAACTCAGACCCCAAGGACAGAACGCACCCGCGCAAAGCAAGACCTCACAGGGCCAAGTTGTTCATTGATCATCTCTTTTGGGGCCCAGGCCTTCAATACGTCGGGATGGCCCTGCGCAGCTGCAGATTTGGAACCCTTGAACTGTCTGTTCTTGAAGATTTCAATTACTTCTTCTCATCCTTAGTCAGTGCTAAAGACAACAGGAGAAGCAACAAACGAAAGACAATTCCCTCATCCATGAACAGTGCTGAAAACTAAAGAGGAAGCGACAAGACTTAAGACAAGCCTGACCTCAATCAAACATCGGAAGCAACCCGCGTGAAACCATTGCGCCATCAACGGCCGATGCTGAAAACAGGGAAGACAATAGAAGCAGAGATAGATTGAAGACGATTGCTACATGCATGGTCAATGCTGAAGACAGCAGAGGAAGTGACAGACTGAAAACGGCTCCGTCATCCATGGTCAGTGATGAAGGCAACAAAGAATGTGACTGGACAAATCCGCTATCCGTGGTCAGACAAGAAGAGGTTTAGGTCAAAAACAGGGAAATCCACCAACGACCAATGACACCCAACTACCAGCGACCTGGAATAGAAAGCCTAGCACATGGCTTGGCAGAATCTGTGGTCCCGCCCTCCACTAAAGGTGCCCCTTGCAAGTGAGACTTGAAATCAGAACACAAGACTTTGTTAAAGGCGTCCTTTTTCGCAATGGAATGCTCCTGAAATTGCCTGGGCATGTGTTGCTTGGATTCAAACGTAAGCCCAACAGATTGTCTCAAAGCCAAGGCTTTTGTTGGATGAAGGTAAACTAGATCAGGATTCAACAGTCCATGGATCACAAGTTAGGGTATGGATCGATGGTTCGTGTGTGCTTTGTGAGGCCTCAGCCGGTTTCGGTCCGTGTTCCTGTTGCTTCTTGTCCCCCGAGGCCTCAGCCGCTGCCAACATCAGCGCCGTGGTCTCCTCGAAGTCACCAATGTCGACTGAAGCTCCGGCCTCATGCGCAAGAGAGTCATCGCCACGCCATTGCGATTTACTGACTCAATACTTCGGCTCTCCTGGATGAGTAGTCGCGCCACGTCAGCATGACTTCTTTCTGCTGCCCTATGCAGCGCTGTCCTGTACGCTGCACAGCTCCTGTGATGCGATGGAGACTCCCTGCCTGCCCCGGGCTGCACAAGCACCGGTTGCAGCTGCGCCACAGTTGATGAGCATCCGCGCAACCTTCCGATTTCAAAAGAGACCGTGGGTGAGAATCGATTTGCGGAACAGGCAGACCAGCAAACCTAAAGCCCAGCCCATGTAACAATCACTGCGTCGCATTCAATGCGCTGCATGTACATTGCATTGAGTCAATCACTTCCCACTGGTGGCCCGTAAATATAATATGGACCTCTGTTGAACAAACTGAAGCCTGGATCATGAAAAAGCTTGGATCATCTTGTGACAAGGCACGTGACAACTTGCACTAAATGCAACGACTTTCGTACACATGACGGTCACGTGACCGCAGCCTTAAGTGCGCTTGAAGCTCTCAACTAAAAAACAAACAGCGAGTGACGCAGAAAGTCATAAGCAGGCAATTGCCAGCCGTCGCTGGCTCGCGGGACATATTTGAGCCTTGCGCTCCCTCAAACGATGCCAGGTTTAAACGCTTTTCAAACTGATAAAGACTCAAAGCATGGGGCGCGACTTAGGTGAACTGATGGAACAGCGAACTGATGTGTCGGACCCTTCGTGTCCCGTGGCGCCTCCACCTGCCCAGAAGCTGCAGCAACCATGAGCGGCGTCACCCCGGAGATCCCAGCATTGGGATTGGCGCTGGCCTCGCGCCCAAAATGTTGCAACTTCTTTGCAAATGTAAAACTTGAAACACAAACGCATCTCTCGGAGCCCGAGTCAGTACGTCCAGTATCAGTGGGCTTGCCTGCAGTAACATTGCAATCACCTGGGCCAGCCCAAAGAGTTGCCGGACCAAACTGCGACAGCCCTGCCTCCATATAGCCTCCTCCAACCGCTAGCATTAAAGCCTGAGCTGGTGCAAAGCTGGGTCTTCAGATGCGACTCTGAAAAAGCGCACGTACCGCTGTTTGTTCCCGCTTGGCACACAAGTGTCTATGTGCAAGCAATGCCGAAAGGGGCTCTTGAGCCATGGCCATGTATTCACACAACCACTTCACAAGGCTCATCACTAGCCCTCCAATCATGGTGACTGGCTAAAGTGCAAATCATGCTAGCTTGACCGCCTATGCCGGTCAAGTCAAGTCTGGGATCATTTTGCTCAGTCCAAACGGATACACTGATTGAGTCTTGTGTGTTCAGGCCTGGCACGAATCCTACTAAAAGGTTCCTGCGCTGCATAGCTGTGGCGCAGTTCCAAATTCGCGCCAAGTGCCTCACGATCACCTTGCGTTGTCAATCCCGCTGCTAGAAGTCCATCACGCAGCGCTGCGAATAGCAAGCGTCGCAACACCTCATGTCGCAACTCCAGCGACGGTGGCGGCTCCCGAAACTTCGGATCGAAGTGATCCGCTCTGAGCGGAGGAAACTCCAGCAGAGTCTCTCCCGGCCGACCTGCCGTTGATCCTTGTGTAGGCTCAACTTCAGGTATACGCCTTGCCCGGCATGAGCTCCTATGCCTGCCAAATCTGCGGCGCAACCCGCTTGAACTGGCTTCTGTGTCAGTTTGCTCAATTGTAGTCTGCTCAGTCAACGAAGATCTCGGCCTGGACCTCCCCCCCCATGACTGAGCCCAGCATGATCCAATGGCACATGCTGCAAACATGAAAAGGCACATAAATCCAAGCTGAAAACTGTTAACCTGTTCTCAGTCGGCTGCGCATCTGCTCCTTGTGTGTTGTACAAAATCACAGCTGCCGCAACGCCCCTTTCAATTGGCAACTGCAACAAGACTTCGCAACCTCGGAGCATCCAATGCCTTTGTTCCAACGTCACTCCAGTTGAAGGCCGTGTCGACAACCTCAACCTCAAGCTGCTTCTCCCGAACAGCCGCCATTCCTCTGGCCGCACTTCAGTCTGAAAGCAAGACCAGCTTGCGATCGTAGCCCAGAAAGTTCAAAATCTCACTCACCTGCAACCCACACCCCGCACCTCTAACAAGCGCGTAAAACTCGGATTCTCCTGAACTCAAAGCAATGAGAGATAACTTAGCACATGATGAGTCCAGCAAATGCTTACCATACTTGATGCACATTGCGGAAATTGAGCGCCTCGTTGCTTTGCATGTCGCCCAATCTGCATCGCAGTATACCTCAAGTCGTGGTGGTAGCGTCCAATTCGTCTAAGTCGAAGCCAATGCAGAGTTGTAGGAGAATGCGTTCCTTCCACCACCTGTGAAACAGCGAATTGTTTACTTGGACGATCCAAAGACAGATACAACAAGGTGCCAGCCAATCGTCGAAACTTGGCCGGGTCCTGTGCATTCAAAGGTTCATCTCTGTCTCGGACTCCTTCTCTTGTCGCTTTCGAAGCTGGGGTTTCAACTCCAGCTGTGCCAGCAAGTCCCAGTTCATCGACTATGATTTTGCTGTACTTGTCATGACCTTCCCAAGTGAATCCATCCGGACTCCACCTTTGGCAAGATCTTCACCTCATAGTTTTCACCCATCAGCTTGTCCAGCTTCTTCAGGTTCTCCATGAACGTCCAGGACTACCTCGCTAGCCTGTCCAACCCGAGCTCTCTCCTCTTGCGCTTGATGAACCTGTCTTTAACCGCATTCTTCAGCTTGATCCGCCTGACCTTGCAAGCCGGTTCAAGGCAGCCTTCCCGCTTCCTGGCAACTGGTCCAATTGATGGCCACCCCAACCAGCTCGCTTTGGCCCAAGAAACCGAGACCTCGCCTCGCTGGCCGTGGGGCCGAGCCGGAGGCATCCACACCCAAGGCGGCAGCGACCTGCGTCCACGCACAACGACTCGAGAGCTGCTGCTCTTGGTCGTCTCAACCGTGACCTTGCGCTTGGGGGACACGAGCCTTGGAGACTCCGGCTTCCTGGCCTTCTTCTTGCTGGAGGTCTTTTCTCTATCAGTAATTAGGCTGCTCCGCTGCCGTGAAACAGCAAGTGTCTATGTGCAAGCAATGCTGAAAGGGGCCCTTGAGCCGTGGCCATGTGTTCACACAACCGCTTCACAAGGCTCATCACTAGCCCTTCAAACATGGTGCCAACAATACTGCCTGCGTGTACATCTGTGCACAACAAACAAGCTAGTATCCATAACAAACTCAAAACTCCCGGTCACTGCACTCGCATTTCACATCCAAGAGTCGCTGTAGCCTCCGAAGTTCACGCAGTTTGGGTCCCCGTGAGCATTGAGGGCCTAGTGCCAACCGTGTCCAACGGCCATCGCTCCAGCATAGCACAACTGTATCTTGCGCTTGGTTTTTCATTGTGCGCTGTCACATTAAACACAACCTTTTGGGTGGTGCACAAGTGACTTCTACTGAAATTCTCGTGACCCTGCTGGGAATTCTAGCCAAAGATTAAGAAGGCCGGATGGACGGCTTTCACTGACAAAACATCCCGCGCTCTGTATTATTCCCAGGTCGGCTTCACCGAGAGCTGCTCGGCAAGAACTCGTCGAGTGTCGCCGCGTTGGGAGCCCTCAAAAACAGCCTCCAGAAATGCGCCCAAGAAATGCTTCCTTTGAGCCCTTCCCTCCCCTCCTTGGACTCGCTCTGAAACGGAAAGTAGATCCTTTCCTACACTGGAACTGTTGACACAAGTTGTCATTGATTCTTGTTGGCATGCTGAGTGGTGGAGCGCAGTGGAGCTGCCAGCATAGTTAAAAGCTAAGCGCAAAGCCAAGAGAGCACGCGCGGATTAATTAGCTTAGGTAAGCTTGGGCGGTTTGGCGGGCATTCGCTAGGGCTCCGCTCTTCGTCCCAGCTGCACAAAACTAGCAAGCTATCAGCTTGTGACAGGACGCCTACCATCTCTGACCTTGACGCGACAGCAGTTTGCGTAGCTGATAGCTTGCACTAAGGAACAGCGGGCCACGTGCTTCCAATGTTCACAGGTTGCAGTGAATCATAAGCCTTGAGTAGCAGGCTGGACCCTCGATCCGAATTGGCCATGGAAACTGACGCCTGTCTGTTCAGGCGCAGATTCTGCGCAATTGGGCAATGTGACATGAGGGTGGGCAGGAACCAGGTAGGTAATACAGCATGTTGGCATAAGACACGCCGTTCAGGTACTATATGTAAATGAGTTAGTAACCCACGCGGTTCTGACGCATTGCCTGGAGGAGGCAATGCGAATGAGATACAGTTAGTGTCTTTCCATAGTTACTAGCAATGACGGCAAGCACCTTTTGTTTAAATATTAGTGAAATGTCCTGTTGTTCTTAGATAGACTGTTGACTGAAACATATCCCATGTTCCCAAAAGTAAGCAAATAAGATTTCCAGAAAACTTAGTCTAAGGGTGATGTAAACATGAAGCGCAAGATATTCCACGATGTAGACACGTTGAAACAAGCAAGCGACGCACGATTAGAACGAAGTCGCCGTACATATTGGTGCTGAAGTAACGCATCAGGTTACATGTCCACCTGAAAATATTCCAGATATCTGCAGACCGTTTCTGTAAAAGGGGAGGGAAGGGTGCGACTCTGCTGATAGTTGCCATCATCATCATTCTCAAGCAATGCTGGGCGGGGTTGAGGATTCAGGGATGCTATGATGATGGTTGTCGTCGATCATCATCATCAGGCGTCTCATGTTGACTCAGCATAGCACCCATGCATCCCAAGCGACGAACTTGTCGTCTTCCTCGTGCAGAGCTCTGGCTACTTGCAGGCTGGCATCTTGCTTCTTTTCGTCGCCGCCTGCGCGCTGATGCTGATCACACGCGCTGTTCTGGATTTTTCTGCGGAGGTTCAGTCTCACTGGACGCAGCCTTGCGACATGAGGAGGGACGCATGATCAAGTCCTGTGTAAATGAAAAAACGAGACCATGATCACTATGACGGAACCATTTTGGGACCACTGTGAATCATCAGCATTGATGATGACAACTGTCAGCGTAGCATCCTCTGCATCCAAAGCGATGTCTGCCCTGACTGTTGATAGCGCTATGAGAAAGACAGAGATAAGGATGCCTATGACGGGGCCCGTTTTGGGACCACCATGACTCATCCTGTTTGATGATGATGATAACTATCATCATAGCACCCCGCCATCTCAAGCAACGTCGACTGAAATAATGTGTGAACACGCGGAGCGATGTCTAACGTCACTATTGAAATAAGACAAGAAGGAGATGACGACGACTATGTGGGGACTCAACTACTAGTCAGGCAAGAAAGAGATTGTGACGGGACCTGTTTTGGGACCGCTATACTCTCATCATCATTGATGATCATAGCACCCCCTGCATCTCAAGCAACGTCTACTGAAATGTGTGACCATTGTGAGAGATGTCAAGAGTCACTATTGACATGTGTATTTAAGAACAGAAAGAGATGATGACGACTATGACGGGACGTAGCTACTACTGACATGGGTGAATAAAAGAAGCAGAGATGATGACGACTATGATGGGATCCGTTTTGGCCCATGCCCAAAGCAATGTCTAACGCAACTATTGATATGTGTAAATAAGACAAAACGAGGTCACGATGACTATGATGGGATCCGTTTTGGGACCACTAACATCAAGAGAAACAAGCCGCCAATGTCCAGCCTTGTAGTTTACTGCTTTTTGCGGGTTGTTGGTGCGATCAGCTGGCATCAGAGTTGGGGAAATCTCTTGAATTTGCGGTGCGCCGAAGTGTGGAAATCGATTCTTTTTGAATGCCACGGGGGTGCCCTTACATCCGGCTGGACGTGACCAGGCTAGCCTGGAGGGCTGCCTTCAGGTATAAGGCTGTCCGCCCCGCCCCGCCTAGAGGGGTTGAACAACATATGAAAGGAAACGCAAGGGACATGAAGGGGACTTGTTAGAGGTGAAAGCAGCGAAGGGCAATGAAGGGGAAAAGGAGATGAATGGAAACGAAGGGAACTTGGGACATGCAAGGACATGACGAGGCACTGGAGGAAAACTAAGATGAAGGGAAGTGCAGGACATGGAAGAACGGGAGCAGCAGCGAAATGAACTGAAACTGAAGGAAACAAAAATAAATTGTGGAAACAAAGGGGTGTGAGGTGAGATTGCTAGGAAGGTGCGTTGAAGGGAAATTCACGGGAATGCAGTAAATTGACGGGAGCAGAGGGAGGTGAAGGAATGAAGGGGAATGAAGGAGAATGAAGGGAAATGAAGGGACATGAAGGGACACTGAAGGGCAATGAAGCTGACGCGAAATAGGGAAGTGAGGTTGAAATCACGGGCGCTAAGGAGAATTAAGAAAAAGAGCTGCAAATGAAGGGGCATGAAGGGAAATGAAGGGAAGTGACACGAAGCCGTCGGAAATGCAGGGAAGCGCAGGAAACTGTCGTGAAGGAGGGAAGTGAACTGGGAGAAAGGACCGCGACATTTTGCAATGAAGGGGAGGGCAGGGCGTCCGGTGGCCGTCTGTGTCGCGTCAGTGTGTAAATCCGGCCTCGCCGTGCCATGCCGCCCAAGGGGCGCGTGCCTAGTCTGTGCTCCGACTGACGGTTGCTGCCGCCGACCCCTCGCATCGTGTGCCTTTTTGGTGCATCATCACCGCTAGCGCGGCCATTGGAGCTCGAGTTGGGGGAAGGCTCAAAACTCTGCAAGTGCGCAGCAACACGGCTGCACTGTTTGCGTCGCCGACGTCCTCGGAAACCCGCTTTTCGCGCGTCGCCTGCGTCCCTTGATTACGTTGCCCACGTTTGGGGCCAGCCTTCCTCAAGCCAGTTCTGATGCACTCACGACCCGGCCGCACACACGCAACCAACCATCCGTCCGTCCATCCCATCCCATCCCTCCAAGCCATCCATCCATCCACCATCCAGCCATCCATCCCTCCACCCGTCCGTGCCATCCATGCCATCCATCAGTCCCATCCCATCCCATCCCATGCCATGCCATGCCATCCCATCCCATCCCATCCCATCCCATCCCATCCCATCCGTCCCATCCCATCCCATCCCATTCCATCCATATTCATATCCATATCCATATCCATATCCATATCCACAATCCATATCCATATCCATATCCATCCGTCCATCCCATCCATCTCCATCTCCATCTCCATCTCCATCTCCATCTCCATCTCCATCCATCGCGTGCATCCATGCATCCTCTGCCTCTGACATGCGAGGCCAGCGCGCGAAGCAGCAAAATAACTTGTAATAACATGGTAGCTCGTATTTATTTCAAAACAACAGCAATATGCCAAAACATATTGTATGATCAGAGGTCAAGGATACAGGGTATCTTGTTTCATGCTTATCTTTAGCCGTCGCTCATTATTATCAAATATTATGTGTCTAGGAATTACTTTCTTGAATATTATCTCATCGTAATTCCTCTTTCCTGGAAGTGTCTTAGGTACAGAATAATCTTTGTAATCACAATGACTGTATCACTTTGCATAGTCATTAGTTCTATTGTCCAACCCCTTTCGATTCGTTGTGCCCCAATAGAAGTCTTCTTGACAGGATACAGGATCTCATGTGGAAAGGAAAGGTTCCTGAGACGAAGGCCAGCCACTTTCCTAATCCCGCCCCCATCACCACATCCTATCCTACATCATGTTGTCTCGGAAAGAGAGATGATTACCTAGGCACATCTATAACTCTAGAATTGCATTCACCATTTTCCATCTTTCTTCATACCATGCCTTCTGGTAATTCCTTGCTGGTCATGACCTCAGAGAAACCTTCCCAAGATTTCAACTGACAAAAAGCCAGGGTGGGGAAGACTAGGCCAACGGCCTGCCATTAATTCCCAACTCTTTCACTCTCATGTCCTGCGACAAAGGAGCATGTGGCTTGAGACGAGCCTGTGAAGCTGCTGACATCATCATCTTGTCATGCCAATGCCTCCAAAAGCAAAGCTGCAAAGTATAGCTGACTACAACTGCCTAATATTCTTAGTCTGTTGTTAGTCTGTTAATCAGCTCAGGTTTCTATGCGGCTCTGACTCCACAGCTCAGCTTATGTTTTCAGCTCGCTCAGACCGTGCCCCGCCTGGCAGTTTCATGGGCTCGGCTCTTATGTGCAGCCTGCGCTTTGGCTCCTAGCCGAGTACAAGGCGCGCAAACACATGAAACACCACGGGCTCCTCGGCCGCCGAGCCCCTGACACTGTTGAGTCCACTGTTGAGTCAAGACAAAGGCAGAAAGACAAATCATAAAATAACAAATAAAGAAGAACATGAAATAACATGAACTGAATGAAATGAACCCTATTGGTCAACGTGCTGCGCGCTCGACCTCGTCGCCCCACTCCGTCGAGCATGCTGCACCCATGGCATGGATGCGACGATCTTTCGGCCGAAAGCAGCAGAGGCTGCTTCATGCTTTGGCAATTATTTGAACGTTCTAGATCTTGCAACGAGTCACAAAGCCATTGCTTGAACACCCACCCACTTTGAGCCTGTCCTTGGGCCTTCCCATGCAGTTTTTGAGCCTAGCCGGCGGCAGCATTTCGCCAAGCTATGAACTGTGCCGAACGGATTTGCAGGCCAAGCACCTGGAGTGCGGGTGATGGGTCCAATCGGGCTAAGTGGGTGCCAACGTCTCCTGTCGAGAAGAAAAGCCATCTGCTTCACTGCTTCACTGCTTCAGCGTGCTGCCAGTCATTTGGTCTTCCGCTTTGAGGTCGAATTGCTCGTCGAGCTTACGTGTGTTCGCAAAGCTCGTTGCGGCAAATGCAGTGATTCTGATAATAGCGTCTTTAATGCAGTTTCTCCCAAGCTAGCCGGGCATAGTGCTCAAAGTCAAGGTCAGCGTAGACATGACGGCTGCGTGGAGACTGGATAATTTGCAAGCTAAGCGCCAGATCTTTCCTCTCTTGGGAGGAGTTGGATACTCCCATTTCTGGCTTGCTCTGCGTCAGCTCTCAGGTCCCTTTGCACAGGGCGCGTATCACAGGTGTGGCCCGATGGACTCCCAAATGCAAAAGCTAGAGCATCGCCTTGGCGAAATGCAAGGCATGTGCCTGAGTGCTACAAGCTTCAAGATGCTTCAACCTCGCAACCGCTTTTTGCGCCGGGAAAACATGTGATAGTGATCAGAATCGGGTGAGGATGAGGATGAGGTAGCCCATCTCACTCCTCCAAGGCCTTCGCCTCGAGTTTTTGACTTCGACTCCGACGACTCCGACGACTCCGAGGACTCCGAGGACTCCGAGGCCTGCGACGACTCCGAGGACTGCGACTTATGGAGGCTGGCCCAGCCCGTACCCCCGTGCCGGGGCCTTCTCCAGCATGGCCTTGAGCTCGCCCCTGATGTGAAATGCAAAATGCGAAAGGAGACAAAGAGATGGCGAAGCAAAGGGCCCCGCTTCTGTGCCAGGTCTGACACCTCGGAGCCACCACCTGGAATCAATGCAACAGCCGCCTGCCCAAACAAGAAGATTCTGTGCCTACACAGTTGCCGTCGATGAACACCCGTGGCACTGAACGTGCGCCAGTAGTTTTCAGGAAGTGGTCCTTGTGTTGAGGGCTCTCCTCAGTCACCCAGTCTGATCCCAGTCCTGTAGGGCGGCCATTTCCTCAGGACTCAGCTCCTTGTCCATCCTTGTGCGAGTCGGCGAGAGCACTTTGGCACAGTTGGTCGGTCTGAGGTGCCGGCTCCAAAATGTGGCACTTTGCCTTGTTGTCCTGCAACGCCTGGCAAACGAACCATCTTCTAATTCGAACTTGCGCCGCACATGGAACACATGCCGTGAAAGAACGCTTCTGGCAAAGGTTGACCCTTTTCCTGTCTATTTCTGGAGCCAACGTCTTCTATTTACTGGTGATAACCAAGTCTGACATGCTCGCATCACATGTCAGGCGGACACCCTTGGCCATCTGGCAGAACGGGCAAGTGGACTTGGAAAAGACTACACACCTACGGCAAGGTACAGCAAGGTATAGCAAGGTCATAGTTGTTTCACGTGGCAAGTTCGGACTGAGGCGGGCACGGATTGCTCTGGATGAGCTGAGTGGCTTTCTCCACAATCGGGGCACTTGCCGGTGCCCGGCCAAGCAACCTGCGAGCCAGGTTTTCTGAGTGGCAGCGACATCGCTGCTGTTTGAAGTTCAGGGCAATGATCTCAAAGCAATTATTCTCAGAGCAATGACTGAAACATAAGAGCGCTATCTTAGGTCAAAACTAAAAACCTACTAAGCCGACGATGCTTAGCAATTCAAGAAACAACGGTAAATAATATATCTAATAACACATACCGAACAACAACATGGACAACCCTTCTCACCTTCTGGTACCGGTTGGTATTGCATTTGTGTTCCTGCTCGGTTTAGAATGTTCTGGGGCCATCAATGTTGCCACAGGCATAAAACTTGCAGGAAGAGATTGTGCATATTGGAAGCCCAGAACACGACATGACATTGAGACGTTGGCTGGCAGCTGATGAATTGCCCGTCGGCCGACTATTGGTTTGACGACCGGCGCAGGCCCAATTGCTGGGATATTCTCCATTCATGGCTTCTGGCAATATCGGCTTTCCACTGAATGGGTTTGCCGATGTTTGCCGTGTTCCAGACCAAAACAGATTCCGGGTCTTATGGCTTGACTTCTCTGAATGCATGCTTGAATTCGCGGCCTGGACAAAGCGGCAGAGGAGCGAGAGATGAAAGACATGGCCTACGCAAGCGCCTTCTGTTCTCGTGTGGCTGTTGGACCGTTTCGTGAGAAAGTTCTGAGCTTTTATGCCAAGCACCCATAAGCCAAAGCTGCGGGACCAACGTTTCACTGCAAGCTCAGGAAAAAAAAAAACAAAACACGCAAAGCTTCCCCTTAGCCCCATTCACCGCGTTCCGCCCCACGTTAACCCACCGCTTTCGCATCACGGCAACACGCCAGGGTGCAGCCATTGCGCTCGGCTTGTAGGGGCTTAGCCCGAAGAGCCACGAAGGAAATTCCACGAGTGACACCCAGAGATGATTTCTGGCTGGAGTCTAAAAAACATTTCTTGATGCCAAAGTCACATGCCCATCATTGCCGGTATAAGTTCAAAGCTGTTGCCGTGACAAAGGAGCCAAGAAAACCCAGAAGTATGACATGGTGAGTCTCAGCATGCAATACTGAGATAGCACGCGGGTGCATCATGTTGCTGCCCCTCCATGAAGGATTTGAGGCAGCAGGTTCAACGGGTGCTAGCTTCATAAGTGTGCAGGGACACTATGAGTGCTGTTCAGAACAGCTCAGACACAACATCTTCCTTAGCGATGCAGTTGCTGAGCCACTTGCAACTTGCGCAACTTTGGTTGCCTTCAGCGTTTGACCAAGCTGCAATTTTTGCGGAGCCCGGCCCCAGCACCAGCGCCTTGGACTTCCTCTTCTGAATCAATGCGTTTTCTAGGCGAAGCCTCAGTTGGAGGATCCCTGTTCAACTCTGGCTCCGGCCACCTCGGCGACATCGGCTTCTCTTTTATTGCCAAGGTACTGCTGAGCTGCCAACATCTCAAGCATGTCGTTGCTGCGGCTCTCTGCCACGAGCTGACCTGTGCTCACAGACAACCCATCTCAGAATGCACTTCATGTGCAAGTTCTGGGGAGCAACTTTTGCAAGGGTGTCATGCCAAGGAGTTGAGGCTATCTCCACCCAACTAGATTGTAGTACGTCTTGCACGTACAAGGAGCCCACAAAGCAGGCCTGATAGGATTTGGTAGCTCTCTGCTGTGAGCAGCACAGTGATGCCATTTCCATGCTTGACGATCCGAGAATAATCCAGGCATTGACCTCAAATGGCATATCATATCATCCCTAGCGGTCCATGCCTACCATCCCTACCATCCCTACCATCCCTACCATCCCTACCATCCATGGCGTCTGTGCTGACGCGTCTGCCATGCGGCGCAGCACGCGCACATCATCCACATCTTTGACCGCTGCTGCCAAGGAGGAGATGTCCACTTTCACCGTGTAGCTGTCCTGGTTGTTGAGGCAGCGGTGGTTCAACAACTTGTTGTAGAGCTCCACCAAGAACTGCAGTCCACGCCCTTGGAACGATGCTTGCTCTAGAATGCCCAGCTCTGAAGCTGGTGTCTCACCTTCTCCCGGCTCTCAGAGATTCTCAGAGTCTCACCCCAGCATCCCCCTCGCTCCCTCATTTGGCTGAGAGTCGAAGCCCCATGTCCTGATTGGCCACCGCGTTGGTCAGGAACAAAGGCAGGTACAGGAAAATGAAGGCTTTCTGCAAATGCCCGTCGGTCAGGAACACTTCTAATAACGCGTCCTTATCAGCCAAATGTCGCACGGATTGCATTGCACCAAATTCAATTTCGTTGTTGTGAACGGGATTCGCGAGAAACAGAATTGGTTTGTCCCAGGAGCTTGTTCTCTACTTGTCAGCTCCTCCCAGTCGTTGGCCAGAGACTGCAGAGCTGGAGGCTCGACTGTGCCTTGTCTCAATATCTCATGATGTCTCATGATGTCTCATGTCAATGTGAAGTTTGTCAGTCGTGTGTGCTCGTGTCGTGTAGAATTTCAGGCAAGACTCGAGTGAGGCAGGCAAGCCTGGCCAAAACCAAGTGGCTCGGCGTCGTTACCTGCATGTTCAGCGCATCAGCGCGACTGGCGATATACCGCCAGTACACCGTCTGTGGGTCTGAGTCCTTAGATCATGTCACAAGTTGTTCCAATGTTGTTCCAATGTCACAAGTTGTTCCACGTCGAACTGGTTGACATTGACACAGGCTGACTCTGCGTGCCTAAGGCTCCAAAATATCCTGAAGGCAAACAAGACCCTTCACCACCGATCGACCGTTCAGCTCGTTCAGGAACATAGAGCCCCGCATGGTGATGTGAGATGTGACCTCCAATTTCAGTTGGACAAATTCTATGCGCTCCAACAAAACAGGACACCACGTCACAGCACTCGCTCGCACCCAGCCAGAATAGGGAGCTGACGCCACATAGAATACTGACCTGAATGAAGAGGAACATCCTTGGCTGATGCATTGCAGTGCCCACTGCTACCTGCAACTCAGCATGTGTCACTGCTAAAGACCGGAGACAAGCAAACAAAAGGCTCGGCTATCTCGGCTCTCAAAGCCTCAGACTTCCAAGTCTCTGAAAGGTTGTTTCTCCTTCTTCTTGGAGACTTGCTTGCAGTTGCCAGACCGAGTGAGGGTTGTTCTCTCCTTGTAGGAGTTGTGCGAAGTTGAATTCGCTGAGCATGCGCACCTCACACCCACAAAATCCGACCTGGAGTCACATTGACATGTCGCTCTCCGAGTTGCGGTGTTCACCACGTAGGTGTACGTCTCCGGGCCCAGGCATGCGATGGAAGGCAGATATGCATCCAAATTGCAAATGGCGTAGCTGAGGACCTGAGCCATTCGGCTCGGGCTCTCGGGCTGGCCGGGCTGGCCGGGCGTGCCCCACCTGCTCCGGGTTTCGGCGCTCACTCGGAGGGCACAGCTTGGAAAAATCGGAGCTTTTGCTCAAGCCGCCTCAGCTAAAGAGATTGCGAATGGGCAAAGTCTGAGAAGGCAACTGGATGGCTGGGCAACTTAAAGCCTTCAAACATACCAAAATATAATTACCAAACATAGGCCAGACATATGCCACATCAGACTGAGCCCAGAACGGAGCGCCAAAAGCACCAGAATCGCCGTGAGTTGCGCCTTGTTCATGCGCTTGGCGCCGATGAACTCCTGACTGTAACGACAACTTGAGGCCTGCGGTTGCGGCTCTGTCGGTCCTGGATTGCTTTGAAGGTTTTGTCTGTGAGGCGTTGCGTCATCCTTTGGCAGTCGACCATGTCTTGGTATTGGTCCTGAAAACTGCGGAATTCTCAGCCACATGCTTTCCAATCCAATCTGACGATACATTGCACAATGCGCCACCGAGATCCTCAACCTACAAACAGCCGTCACCTACAAAATGGCAGTATTTATGTCTTGATGCTGCAGGAGGCAACTTGGACTTGGGCACTGCAAGCTGCTAGCAGGGATTGGGCCATGCGCTAACGGTATGCTGGTCGGGAAGCCTTGCTCGGTGAGGACGGCTTGCCGGGTGGATAGAAGGTTGGGCATGTTGGGCATGTTGGGCTTTAGTTTTGCTTTGTGCGTGTTATGCGGGAAATATGTGGCCACGTAAGCTGAAGGGAAATGAGTCCAAGGGAAGCCCTGGAGCGACTGACTCGGATGCTGGACAAGTGGCCTTCAAAATCCAGAGCGTGCTGAGCATGGAAAGAATTGCTCGGTCACCCTCCTCCTCAAGAAAATCAAGATGGTGCAAAAGCTGCAACTTCGAGTGAAACTCTGGCTGGAGTCTCCTCAAAATTCAACTGGGAGTAGAGACCATCCGGCCGCAACTCTGGGATCCGCTTCTTGATGGACTCTATGACTTCCTGCACTCCGTTTCGGGGAAGGACAAGAGTTGCATCAGAATGATAGAATCAGTAGAGGCGCTTCGTTGGAGAGCGCTTTGTCCATCACTTCATCCAAAAAGTTGGTGAAGTCCGTCTCCTGGCGACATGACCACTCTCTGTACAAAAGGGATCAAAAGGGATCAAAAGGGTGTAAAGAGATTGTGGCCTCGGAGGACTTGAAATTGTGCATCCGCCCAGATCCTGGCATGAGCAGCTCCTGGGAGGCCACATGCCCCAAAACTCCAAAACTCCCTGGACTTCGAGCTGAAAAAACACATCCGCACAGCTCACACTCGGCACACACTCGGCACATGGCACAGCCCTCCCCAGTGAAGCAGGCCAAGTCTCACTGAGCTGGGTGTTGCTCACCGACTCTTCGACCATTTCATCAGGGAGCAGCTCCCATGTGTCCTCCGAGGAGAACTGCTTCCTGGGATGGAGCAGCATGCCAGCCGAGAATTGCATCCACGCGTCTGCCTCTCTTCACACAAGCCAAGCGTCTGATACAGTGACAAAAGTCGCACCGCGTACCTTGGATCCAAACCGAAACCTTGTGACACCTTGAGCTAGTTGGACTAAGAACTCAGTATCAAAAGAGCTGCCGCATTCTGTTGAGCTAAGCTTCTCATGAACGGCCACTACGGCAGCAGGCGACTCTCGCACAGCCTTACAGAAACATTAAACATGTTGCCTGCTGGTCAAGCGGTGTTGGTGGCCATCGTGTCTGTGACAGGCCACTGACTCAATTGATGCAATATGCAAGCGTGGTTTGGCAAGCCAAATGCCCCATTGGCCGTGTCTGAGCTTCGTTGGTGGTTTGGGGCCTATTACTTGCATGCCCCCGGGGAAGCTCCGAAAACCTACGCTAAGGGCGCCTGCGCAAGCAAACAGTCATTTTGCACCTACGCCGAATGTTCAACGCCTACGCCTCAATCACTCAAGTACCAAAACTGCACTTCAGCTCCAGCTGGATGGATGGGGGCGCAGCTCCAGTTGGAAAATCGCAAAGTCAGTACATGTGCACGTGAAGCAAACGTTGGGAGCCCAGGAATTAAGATCACCTTTGTAGAAGTGAGAATCCTTCCTTGTGCTAGAACGGGTCTACGTATTCAAAATGCGCGGAGAGCCTTTTCGAATGCCTACCCGAAGACTGTAGAACAAACAGAAGGAAGGCGAACACATGCGACCTCCGTTATACTTAGCAAACTTGAACTATGTGTTGTTTTAAAAATGCCTGTGCGAGAAGGCTACCCAAGGGGTGACAGAACAGCATACGCGCAGAAGCCTACACAAGCCGACGCGCCCAAGCAGGATTGTCTCGCCCACTCCACGCAATTCCCTTTTTGTATAAATCCTGTCATTTGCAAAAAAACGCTGCTCACATGCTGAAACTTGGATTTGCCGCAGAACAAAATTCTGAGGGCAATTCAAGCAGTGAAACATAATTTATGCAGTGCACACAACAATGTTCCCAACGGATGCCTGACAGAACCTTTTCCTGAGTTCTCCCTTAGTCTGGCATTTGCATATCTATCAGTTATGTCTATGACAGTCCACAACCTGAGAAGCTGGCTTTCACGAAGCCCGAAACCGGTATCATCAATATTTTGGAGTATGCTCTGGCAGAGACAGCTGCCGAATGAGTCCTGAGCTGGCACATGCACTCGACACGGCAAGGCTGGACAGCCATCAGCTGAGTGGCATGTTGGCATATAGAGAAAGCTCCTTAGGCAGGCAAATGCCGCAGTCGCTTCTTGTTAGCCAGCCACAGCTGTTCACTTGCCTCTCCACAGCCCAAAGCTAGTGCAAGCCACGCCTCTGCTAGCCAAGACCCTGCCGGCAGGATTTCTCCTCCACTCTATTTGCTACAGCTTGAGTGACTCACGTGCAATCGCCCTACTTCCACCAGCCGGTGCGGGTGGATCGGTCCTGACTCCTCTTTTCGGCTGCTTAGAGAAGACCGGACGCTAACTACGCCTCCCTCCTCAGGCTGCCAAGCAAAGTGTGACGATCTGACGAAGTGAGCCCAACTAGACTTCTGCATTCCAAGCTTCCACCTCCTTCTTCACAAACCCTTTGCCATAATGCAGCAAGAACTTGCCACCCAGCGTGATATAGAGGCCTCGCAGAAAAAGGAAACAGGAACGGCGCGCTCAAAAAATTGGAGTTAAGAGAATAAGATTTCGTGAGTCAGGAAACGACCGTGAGTCAGGAAACGGTCCCGGCAACGACAGGAACAGCGCGCCGGGGTGCTCTCAAGAGTTTGGAGTCAAGTGAATAAGGTTTCGTGAGTCACGAAATAGTGGAGTCGGGAGGCGACAGGAACACCGCGTCGGGGAGGTGTGAAAACTTTGGAGTCAAGTGAATAAGGTTTCAGGAAACAACGGTGAGTCCCGAATCGACGAGAACAGCGCGGCGGGGTGGTGTTAGGGCCGTTGTTCGGCTTCCCCGCTACGTGATAAAGCCGTTGTTCGGCTTCGTGGTCCCTGTTGGTAACCGCGCGCTTTCTCCATTACTGCCTTTATTTGTTTCTAGATAGATATGGACGCTGAAAACCACAACCCTAACCCTAACAACCCTAAACCTGAGTCCTACAAACCTAAACCTAACCCGAAGAACCCTAAACCCAAACCCTTGAAACCTAAAAACCCTAAGCCCTAAACCGAAACCCTAAAAACACCTACCAAAGGGCATGCCCCAGTTCAGATAAAATCCCCTCAGTCAACCACTTCAACCATATTAACCAACAGGGGCACGCCACCTCAACCAATTTTACTACCTAAATCCCAAATTCCCAAAATCCCAAATATATTTTTCTAAAATCCCAAAATATACTTTCCAAAATCCCAAATTCCCAAAATATATTTTTCCAAAATCCCAAATCCCAAAATCCCCATAATTTCAAAGCATAATTCTTACAATGTTTTTTATTGTAAGGTTTATGGTGTAGGATGTAGGATGTAGGATTAGGAGGTTCTGAGGGTCACCGCCTCGCCCGTCGTGCCCGCCCGGCTTCGGGGACACCGACACCATCATTGAAGAGGCCGGAGATTTGGGGGCAGAGTGGGACGGCGGAGAAAATTGCTCAGAATGTTGCAGAATGTTCAACTTGAGCTTGGTGAGTTTTGAGCTGAATACCATGCTTGAACGGAGCACTTTTTGGCACAGGAGGTTTTTGCTCTCACTGAGCATTTCCCTTACCGACAATGGCTGTTCGTGTGAAAGTGGACATGTATTCCATCGTGGGTGCCACTCTTGCAATGAACCTACGAGATGTGGTGAAGGGTGCAAAAGAGTTGCTGGAACAAGCAACAGGAATAGACCATAAAACCATGGTCTTGAAATATGGCAAGCACAAGGGGGCGATGGTGACACTGGAGGATGAGGAACAGTTTAACGAGCTGGGGTGCTTCTACAACCCCTTCACTGGCAACTATACCATCAACATCATGCTCACGAGCCCTACCGTAGAGGCTTTGAAGGTTGTCAATCGGCTCAAGGCTCTTCAGGATGAGGTGGCGTTCAACGGCATGGATAAGATGGAGAAGGACGGCTTGACCATTACCTACCGTGGAATTTCTTTGACATGCCAAGGCGCTGAGCTTGATGACACAGCACCGGAAGAGCCCTCGTCATCCGCCCCAGCTTCTGCCCCTACACCTGTTGAGAAGAAGCCCGCCTCTTCGTCTACTGCCACACCTGCAGACCTTCAGGGTATGAAGCGGATGATGAAAGAGCTTCATGCAGAAAATATGAGCTACCGCATCAAGAGGAACACTAAGGACATCCGTGAGCTCTTGAAGAAGTGCCGAGACATGGAGATTGACATTGTGTTGTTGCGACCTTCTGGTGAGAAGTTCACTGTCAAAGGTTGCCCTTCATACTCAGTGTCCAAGTTCAAGCATCACTTGCATACTGAGTATGGCTTCCGCTACCACCACCAGCGCCTCATCCGGAACAACGCAGATGGCATGGCTGTTGAGCTCCAGAACACCCGCAAGCTCTTCAGCTACGGGGTGGAGAACGATGGCGACCAGATATACTTTGTGATGACCGGCGGTGAGGTTGTTGCCACCCCTCAGACGCCAGCTGTTGAGGTGTCATCTTCGTCAGAAGAGGATGAGATTGTGGGAACTCCTCCTATGTCAGATGATGATGCTGTCCAACTGCCTCGGCCGGGAGATTGCGACATGAGCCTTGTGTCCATCAAGGACTACGCAAGCAAGAGCGTGATGTTTCACGGCGGGATTGACCACAGAATGGACTTGAAAGGACTACTTGACTTCGTGATGGTGTTTGAAAGCATTGAAGATGAGCAGAAAGACCAGCTTTTTCAGCGACGGCCGTGGCAGTCCATACTCATGGTCGTTGACTGTGCAACAGTGCATGGACACTGCTGGCTTTGACGGTTTCTACCTGAAGGTGCGTGGGTTGAGTGGTGGGGCTCTTGTCCGTGGTCATCTTTCCAAGCAACAGATGCTTGACAGGTTCAAGAAGAAGAGCCGAGACTTTGTCAAGCAGTTGAAGGTCATTGAGGATGAGGACGATGAGGCAACCTACGATGCCTCCATTGTGCCACGGTTCATCCACGATTTCATGGAAGAGAAGCGCCAGCAGATTGCCAATGCTTCCTTCATGGCCTCTCAAGGCCGTTGCCCAATCATGATGGCGCTGAAATCTACTCCAGATGACAAGTTGCTGGCCGTTGAGACGCTCATGAAACAGAGGATGAGAGGAAAAGATGTCAGCGAACTCAGGGTGCTAAAGTCCATCAACCTCATGTTCCCAACAATGACGACCATTGAGCAGACCAAGTTGGGACTCACCCTCCTCCAGAAGGAATTGGCCACAATCCTTCTCATGATGTATGCCACTCGCTACAACGAAGAACATGTGGGAGAGTTGCGCTATTACCACGCTGGCTTTTTGAAGGACTTGGGTGAAGAGTTGGTCAAGCGCAAAGTTCGTCCCATGACCGAGCCTGAGCGTGGCTGTGTTCTGTCTTGAGCCACTGACATGTGGCATTTTCACTACTGGAGGAGGAAATGACCTGCCCACCATTTGGGAAGCACCCTGCCCACCATTTGGGAAGCACCCTGCCCACCATTTGGGAAGCACCCTGCCCACCATTTGGGAAGCACCCTGCCCACCATTTGGGAAGCACCCTGCCCACCATTTGGGAAGCACCCTGCCCACTATTTGGGCACCCTGCCCACCATGCCCACCATTTGGGAAGCACCCTGCCCGACATTTAAGGGACATGATTTTTCCTCCTCAACATCCTTGCCAACAAGGGGCTCATTTCAGTGCCAGACAGCGCATTGAATGTGGCCATTGCAACGAGCTTCTGTCTATCTTTGTTTCTGTCAGACGGAGTGAAAAGCGTTTTATAACATGATGCATTTTTGCCCAGCGGTTTGCAAATCCAGACATTTGGCATATGCTCAAACCAAATCCTGTGTTTTTTCATCACGCGACTTGTCTCCGCGCAGGTATCTTCATCATGGACTTTATCTACAAGACTTTCCTCTACTAGGTATCGGGAGGAGGTGGGAGGGGTTTTTTATATTTATATATAATATATAAGGGGGAAACTCTCGCCAATTTTTTGTTGCCCTGTTTGGCGATTGGCAAGAGTTTCTGGATATATCTATATATATTTTGGTGTTTTATTTATTTTATAAACTATGGATTATCCCCTTAACATTCACCATTTTCAAAATTTTTAATTTCATAAATTTTACCGTGTTGTCGTTGGATGAACCTAGAAATTTCAAGTTTGAACTCCAACCCCAACTCAAATTCCTTAATCCACCAAACTCGTCAAAATATCACAATTAATATCAGCATTTTTCAAGTCTAATGAGATGACATTAAAACCTAATGACTTTGCTATGGTTCCTACACTTCCAGTTCCACTAAATAATTCTAATAAATTCATATTGTTTATTAGAATGATTTAGATAATGTTTTAGACATATACATATTTATCATCTTCCTTAATAATCTTATAGTATTCTAATGTTTGTTCTTTTGGACTGTTGATTTGTCCCTTATTTAACATATCACAATATTTTTACGCTTCGTGTCATAATCACCGCTGGGTCTGCCTATCCCTTTCTTTTCAATTATCTTATCAATCTTTTCCTTCTCTTCATTGTTATCTTTTGGTTCGTTTGCCTTTGCATCAAGTTTCTGGTCAATAGTTTTTATCATCTCGTGCAACAGTTTAACATTTTTACTAACTGTCATTATGTTCCTTGATAGTTCAGCAATAGCATCATTCTCAACTTCAGACATTTCTATATATATTTATTTATATAATTATTTATTTAAATATTTATTTATGCGTTTTATTATACAGTTTACCTGAATAATCTAATGTTATATATGTAAATAAATTATATTCTAACAGTCTTTCACCAATTTTATTGTTCATTTTTATTAAACCTTCCTCGTCACCTGTAATTTCAAAAAAATTCAATATTTTGTCAAATCTATCCGGTTTAGTTATACCTTTCATAAAATATTTATCCTTGAACTTAGCATCAAACCAATAAAAATACTCTTCGCTCAATTGTTTAGCAAAGTTTTCATCACCATTGAATAGGTCTTTAATTTCTTCATCGTCAAAAGTTATAACTCTATGGTCTTCTCTATTCATAGTTGGCATTATGATTATACAAATTATTAGATATTTATTTATTTAATTATTTATTTATAAAATTGATTTGATGTAAAATCTACTCTTTAAATACTAACTTATGTCCCTGTTGAAACTAACATTAATCAAATGTTCGTTAGTTTCAATAACCATATCGCCTCCTGATTTTTTCTGGATATTAAAATCTTTGTCTGTTTTTTTAAAAGAAAACATACATGGGACACAACTAACCTTAACACCATCTTTTTTATCTACCGTCAATTCATTCTTAAAATTCATAACATGATTACATTTATCGCATTTTACAGCTTTACTTTCACCCTTTGATTTAACACTTTCCGTTGTTTTTTTCCGAGCTTCAATATCTGGCATTGGTCTTTCTTTGCTTTTACTCTTTTTCTTTCTTGGCATTTATATTAATATTTATTTTTTATTTTTGGTATATTGTATTCCTAATT